CAATATCTTACCACCCGGTAGTCAGGGAAGTCTGTACTATTGTTAATAATTTCCCCACAACTTTTGGATTTTCTTATTATACCTATCATATAGATTACACAATTTTAAGACACACTTGTCATTGTGTCGCAACTGACGTGGAACAGAGATAGTTAATATGAGTTTGTGTGGCAGGGCGGCGGAGGCCTCCCGTTGGTAAAGGAAGCTAGGTTAGGTAGGTTTGGTTACTGTTATAAACTACATATTAATAATTACGTTATTTCAGACGGTAATGAAGGTCATAATGTATAAGTTGCCATAGAATTCCTTTTTTTATGTCGTTAATTTTCATTAATCAATAGATTTATATTCATATTTGGTATACATTAATATGTAAATTTTACTTTGTTAGGCTTATAGGCAAGGATGTTCTATCCTATGAGTTTACAACTAATACAGGTTGAAAATTTCTGGCTGCGACTATTTTTTTTGACTTATTTTACCATTTATTGTTTGTTACCTTAAATCTAATTAACTTTTGACATAGATAAAGGAGAATTTTTGTGGCTACAGCTACAATGATAGGTTAGGTTATAATGTTTAGAACTATTTCAGTAGATTCCTTTGTAACTATGATTTTTGCCAAATATAACATAGTTAGCGTATAGTGTATGTAACCACAGCTCACAGTAAGACAGTTATTATTTATATTTTCTCTTCAAGGTGGCGGCCCCCAAATTGAAATTACATACACTGCAATTGAAGATGCAATTCTTCAACTATTAGATCCAGCCTCTATACATGGGATTCCAGGGGATGTTGAAAGTGAAGAACCTATTACTGGTAATTCAGTCAAAATATTTTTCCAACCCCCTGATATATTTTGTTCTTTTCTGTCCTTGTTTTTATTTAAAAAAAACTTTTGGAGACATTTTTTCACATCTTGATTTGGAAATACTGTACAGTATACTGATTTTTTTATATAATTTTGAAAAATAACAACACTAGTAAGTTGGTTTCATTTCTAGCTTGTTTATTGCTTCCCTAAGTTATATATTAAATGTTGTTATAACTCGTATGTTAATGGACAAAATTGAGAAGTGCAAATATAAGAAATTTAACGCCTAGTTGATATTTAGATTTAAAATTATTTTAAACAAATATATTTAGATGGTCAACACTATTTTTCAAACCATTATTTTTCCTAAAAGCTTTTGTATATTTGGAAATACAGTGTAATATTTTAATTATACTCTTAACATAGACTTCAATCAACCTATTATACTACATTTCTTTCCAGAAGAAGAAAGAGAACCAACCCCCGGACCCTCAGGAGCTAGGTTTACAGCTACCGGTAGTTGTTTCCGAGAGGAATTTATGTTTCGGCCCATTCAAGAGAAAGATGATTCTATAACCCTCATTCTGAATGAGGATATACAGGAACATGATATCACAGTACCCATTGTGCATTTAGAACCTGAAAATTCAGCACCTACAAACATTCCTGGATTTTCATCATCCGGAACATATGAGGTAGAAACATGTAGTTCAAGCAATACTCGTCAACCTATTGCTGCTACCACGGAACAGCGAAGTAGGTATAGTACCCCTTCTGCCACAGCTGTTAGGTCAACTGTAACTGGTGATTCCACTGATGAAATGGGTTCACCTCCAATGCCAAGTACCAGCAGAAGTGGCAGGAGGCCACGAACCTCTTCTGCCCGAAAAGATGAAGATCTTCTTCGAGAGATGCTTCGTGTTCAAACACAAATGAGTGACAGTTTTTTACAGCTTGTAGCTAACACAGAGTGCATTGCATCTGCAATGCTATGCATTGCAAGAGTTATGCAGTCGAAAAATCCTATCCAATGATGCTGTGTTTATGGTATGTGTATATGTAGTTGTTTACTTAGGTAAGTCCTTTACTTTTGGTAAATGTGATAATAGCGTAGTTGAAAAGTCATCAAACATTTATTGTAAATTTTCCTTTGAGTGATTGTTATGAAGGAAGACGGCATGTTAAAAAATTGTGTAACTTTCACTTGCAGCCTATACTAGTCATGAAAATGTAACAGGAATATTTAGCTCTCCATAAGTTCATTAAAATCACGAAGTTAAGTGAAAGACACACATTTGTCAACTAATAACATGGGTTGCAGTGCTACTACGGGTAATGTTTACCCAGGTTTTGGGTAAAAGTTCCTACCACACTCAAAATTATATGTTTGAAAAGAGGCTCATGTACTTATTTTTATTTTTTAAAGGTTCCTTTATTTTGTAAGACGTAGTCAATTTCCAGTTCAACGCGTTTTATTTATTAGTTTGTAGTTTGCGAAGTATGATTCAAGTAGGTTTAAACAGAAATAATGGTGCAAATTCACCAACAGCCTACTGTAATCGCTGCTATTTAACACACATTAGTCTCCAAAGAGCAAGTTGTTGCATTGGTTCTTTCATAAGGATGTGCTGTCTCATGTTACATTTTATAGCTTAACAAGCAAAGAGTATTCTATTGTTTTCTTTATTACTTGTAGTAGTACAGTATTGGGTTATAAGTTTCTTTTAATTTACGGGTATTGATGCAGGTAATTCTAGACATATGAAAATTATACTGTATTTCATTCTTAAATGTAAAAAATGGCAACAAATAACAGTAGTTGTATTATTATTTCACAACGATGTGGTGACCCATGTCAAATTGTGTAGTTTAAGATGCAAACAGTTGCAATATTTTTTATTGTTTCAATTTCTCAAATATGTTTTATATAAGGATTTTTTGTTTCATAAACTTTAGTGCCTTTGGTATTTAGTAGTATTAAAAGTATACTGTATTGGAATCAAATTTGCTCAAGGATATAGTACATATATTATTAAGGTAAAAGAAAGCCATTTAATTTCTATAAAGAAGTTTATTTTATTATGTACAGAATATTGAAAATAAAAGTTAAATCAATGCACGCTTTGTTCGCATTACCTCTGTATACTGCACTAAAAAATACTATTTAAACATAGAGGAAAATTTTATTGGTGAATTGATATTTGATTTTAATTCATCAAGTAAACCAATTACGGTCTACATTGGCTCGGACTGCTTGGCCTGTCCCTGCTACAGCTTCAGCTGTATCACCAAGTACATGTTGAAAGGTTCCATTGGCGTAAAATCTTAAGGCAACTAGCACTTGCGTGTGTATGGGAACAGCATGAGATCTTCTCGTTCTACGCCTTAAAAATGGATCTAAATCTTCACACAGTCTTAGAATTTCACATCGAGGAAACCTATATCTAATTAGATTTTCATCGCTTATATTTATGGGATCCAAAGGGTCCAGATACCTTCGTTCACGTCGTAAAGCTCGATCATGCAGATAAGCTACAACAAGATCCATTGCAGGGTAACTGGAAAATGAGGTCCAAGTGTTACAGGATCAATCTGCAGGACAAAAAATTATGCAATGGTTTAGAAGTTTGTTACAGTATTGTTTTTATGTTGACACTAACTAATTCAAAGTTTTATCATTAGGCCTAGAATAGAAGGGTTATGCCTGTGAAAAACAAAAATTACGGCCTTAAGGTTTTGCCTGGCTCTTAGGGGTAAAATACTGGAAAAAGCACGTGTTAAAATCTCTGTATTCAATTAAAATTGAAAAAAATTGTTCATTATGAAAGGAAATAAGGGTGTTAAAAGCATTTAAAAGACATCCTCTTGCCTCAAAGTCTGTCACATACTCGCATTTGAAACTGATTTCTGGTAGGAACAGCAGCCTTCTCCGTTAGCCGGAATCCTTGAAACCCGGAACTTTCTGAAAGCCGTAATTGAAATTTTATCTAAAATTAATTCTCAAAGCATGATTTTGCAGGAAACTTACTGCTTAGGTAAATGACTTTCAGAGAGGCACATTTTCCTGAAAACTATGAGGAAAGTTTCCCAGATAACCGAGAAAATTCCGGAGATGGGGGATATATTTCCGGGTTCGAGAGATGATGTAATGGGCAATTGTAGGAACTACCAAGAAAATTTTTCCATTACCATAAACATTCTGGGGATGAGGGATATTTTCTTGATTTGTGATAACTGTCTTGTTAACGGGAAAACACCCATTCATTCACGGTAGTGCTCTTCACCAATTGTTCAGGCTAACAGAGATCTCACAGTATTTGGTGTTTTACCCCACTAGAATTTAGGTAAATAATCCCTTGCATAATGTTGGCCTGTGACAAGACACATAAGCTATACTAAGATAGCCTTATTCTGGGCAAATTCAAATAAATTGGTTAATGATAGTATAGCCTTGCCTAACCTAAATGACAAATCACTTCTCTTAAATTACTCATTTAGCCTAGACCCTGGTGTTTTCCTTTCAATGTTGGGAACATTTGGTCTGAATTGTCTTCAAGTTCATACAAAAAACAACAATTTAAAACCTGAAAATATATCGGATTAGCCGTAAATTTTCTTAAATTAATACTCTACCTATGATAATGTTCAAGGAAAGTCTGGAACTAGGCCTAAGGTAGCTGCGAGACAAAGTGTCTCACTGACGGCCTGACGCTCACCAAAAACCATGTACACATTCTCTAACCTAACATACCATAACATAACATAACATAACCAAACCAAACCTATCTAACCTATACCCTATTAGTATAATTTCTTATTTAAATAATCCTCATGTTCTAACTAAATTAAGTAGGCCCCATGTTTAAACATTTATTTGCCTAAGACTGAAAAAGCAGTTATATATAGGCACCTATTAAGCAAGTTAATTGCAATCCATATTTTACACCTAATATCATTTAATTTTCGCTAGCCTATGGAAATTTATAGCCTTTCATGTTATCATAAGCCATATACATAAGAAAATAGGCTAAAACTATTGGTTGAATATTAGAAAAACAAGGCGAAGTCTTGGCAGGAATGTTCACTTGACCTCATATTTGGCTTTCATTACTGAGGGATATTTACGGCTATAAAACATTAATAAGTTCTATCTGCAAGTTTACTCAGTCATAAAACATATTTTTACCCTAAGTGTGAACAATACAAACCTTCTATTTTGGTAAGAAATACTTTATAATGTGTAAGAAGCCAAAGGATGCGTGTCTTCCAAACTGAGACACTCAAGCCGCTTATTATACAACAAAAAAGTTACGAAAAAGACAAAGTGAAATATTATATTTCAGTATGTTGATGTACAAAAGATTTTATTCTTTATTCTATAATAAAACAAGTCTAACAAGCATTATTACAACATATATTATTATTATTTTCTATACAATCGGGAATTAGTCACTACTACATCCGGGTTGAGAGTGTTACACAACCTCGGGAGCTGGTGTAAGTTACTTGTGGTAACTTATGGAGTTCGATGTCAAATATTGGTTTTGAGTATACCATCTGTGTTTTGAGTATACCATCTGTGTTTTGAGTATACCGATCTGAGACTGTAAGTCCAGTTACGGGGTAAACAAAGACATACAGTCCCATCAAATGTTTTTGAGTATCCGGCCCCTGAACTGTACTGTGCTGTGCATTTTTACAAACAATAAACATGGCAAGAAAAGCTATTAAAAAAAAGAGATAAAAATTTCACTTTACTGTACCATACCTATCCTCGGCGACAGGACGGGGTTCATCGGGCTCATCGTCACTCAATTCCATAACGGGTGGTGAAGTGGGGGCGACGGTGGATTCAGCTGCTTCCTCATTGCCGCCAGTGATTGATGGTGTTAAATCTCTCCTTCGGTGATCATAGAACATGGTGATGGGAGTTGTCGTCTCTTTCTTTTCATTTCTTCCATGATGTTTTTGTATGGAGCAAAAACGTCATCCATCCCTCGCATGAATTTCAGGGCACGCACCATGGAGGGGTCCATACTATAGGCCACGTTTTTCAGTGCCTCAATATTCCAGGTCATCTCCCCCAACTTCTCCAACGTTATTTCTTGGTGCTCTTCCTCTTCCTCTTCCTTGCCTGAGTCTACTAACTCCTGTAGATCCTCCTCGGTCAGCTCAGTGTCGTGCTCTTCAATTAGCTTCCTAATCTCGTCCTCTGCCATGTCCTGGAAGCCTTCAGCAGCCACTTTCTTTGACAGTGCCAGGGTCTTTCTGAATATTTTCATTAAAATCCATCAAAATCATTTTCCTTGTCATCGTCTTAAGCACCAAACAGCTCCTCCCAGTCTTCTCCTTGAACAGGGCTAGAGGGTACGTGTTTTTTTAATCGTTTTCAATTAAAAAAATGTTACAGCACATGTATATTTTACCTAAACTGTGCCTGAATGAATATATTCTCAGAAATAAATGGTAGTTTTGCTGAAACGTGATGTATTTCAATGTAAAATAGGATAAGATACATGACGAAAACAAAAGACTTTACCTAACCTTCCGATGTTCAAGAGATGTTACTCGTTTTTTTAATAGTTTTCGGTTAAAATACTGTTATATTACAATGATAATCTATTTATACTGTGCTTGATATACTACATTCACGGAAATTTTTGATGAAAACAATTTTTTCAAGATGTTTTCAAATGGTTTTCAATTAAAAAAACTGTTGCATCACAAGTGAATTAGGATAGAATATTTTTGAAATACAACAGTTTTTTAACTGAAAACCATTCGAAAAGCGATTACGGTAACATCTTTTGAACGAAAGAAAGCGAAAGTCATTGCTTTCATCACGATTTTATCCCAGTTTCCACTGTAATACGTACGTCACTTCAGCAAAATATTACATTTCCATATTCTCAGAAATAAATACAGTGAACCCTCGCTTTACGCGGTTTCACTTTACGCTTTTCTACATTTACGCGGTACCCTGCCAAAACCGGAATTCCCACTTTTCGCGGTGCATCTACTCATATACGCGGGTGAAGTATAATTTTTTTATTTAGCTCATAAAATTCATACAAATTATCCGGCCAGAATATAATTTACATTGCTGGAATTCTTACAATTTGGTGATCATTTTGAATATAAGCATCATAGATATTGCATTAGACATACAAATTTTAGATCTAATGCAAGTATTTTGTTTACTCAGAGCAAATATGTTATCTTTTGTGCAAAATATATGAAGTGTATATTCAAAATATTCCTGGTCTTGCAAGAAATCCAGCAATGTCAATTATATTATCCTAACTTTAGTCTGAGGTATTATTTATTACTAAAAATGTAAATATACTGTTATAACCCAATCATTTCTCTGGTAGGGAGGGAAGGTGGGGGTGAGGGGTAGGGAGGGAGGGAGGGACCCAGGGAGCAGGTGGGAAAAGGGGGGGAGGTGGGGTATTTTGATTGACAAATATGAATTTCGGTAAGTATATTTTGTTTATTTATTGAAGATATTTGTTTTAGCTCATAAAATTCATACAAATTATCGGGCCAGAATATAATTTACATTGCTGGAATTCTTAAAATTTGATGATCATTTTGAATATAAACATCATACATTTTGCATTAGACATACAAATTTTAGATCTACTTTAAGTATTTTGTTTACTCTGAGTAAATATGTTATCTTTTGTGCAAAATATATGACATTTATATTCAAAATATTCCTGGTCTTACAAGGAATCCAGCAATGTCAATTATATTATCCTAACTTTAGTCTGAGGTATTATTTATTTCTAAAAAGGTAAATATTCTGGTTTCTCCCACACATTTCTCTGGTAGGGAGGGTTGGTGGGGGGTGGGGGGAGGGAGGGACCGACCGACCATCTGGCGCGGTTGGAAGAGGGGAAGAGGCAAGGTGGGGTACTTTGATTGACAAATAATGTCGTGAAGAATATTTTTTTTTTTTATTAACTGAAGATATTTATTTTAGCTCATAAAATTCATACAAATTACCCGGCCAGAATATAATTTACATTGCTGGAATTCTTACAATTTGATGATCATTTTGAATATACACATCATAGATTTTGCATTAGACATACAAATTTTAGATCTACTTTAAGTATTTTGTTTACTCTGAGTAAATATGTTATCTTTTGTGCAAAATATATGACATTTATATTCAAAATATTCCTGGTCTTACAAGGAATCCCACAATGTCAATTATATCCTAACTTTAGTTTGAGGTATTATTTATTACTATACCTTAAAATCTAGTGGTTTTTCCCCCAAACATTTCTCAGAGAGGGAAGAGCTAGGAGTGTGAGAAGAGGGGGAGGGAGTTGAGTCCATTATTTGCATGGACATTAACTTGGCGACTGTATTTCTCTATTTCTCTTAAGTATTAATTGTGTGCATGTACCATCATAAAATTAAGATGTTATTTTTACTAGAACATAGGTATTGTGTCGGAAAAAGTGGAGTTTTGGGATCAGCCGGTCTCTATTTCATTTAATCCCATATGTTATGTTGTTCACTTTACGCATTTCTCGCTTTACGCTGGCCTCGTGGGTTCAATTGACCGCGTAAAGTGAGGGTTCACTGTAGTAGTTTTGCTGAAACGTAATGCATTTCAATGTAAATTAGGATCAACTACATGAAAACAAAAGACTTTACCTAACCTTCCGATGTTCAAGATATGTTACTCGTTTTTTTAGTAGTTTTCGGTTAAAATACTCTTATATTAGTGATATTCTATTCATACTGTGCTTGATATAATACATTCACGGAAATGTAATATTTTTGCAACTACAATGCTGATGTCAACACAAGCGTGGTTACAGCGAGACTGACTGAGTGAGGGAGAGCTATGCGTTTGTGTGTGAGGTTGCGGGAGCGGGCGGTGTCCCGTGTTTGGTGCCGCGTGCGAGTTGAATGTACTTCAATTACTTCAATGTACAGATTATTCCTCCGGCGGGGCAATCCGCATATTTGCAAATCCGTGTATGCTAAACCCGCGTATGTTAAGGGCCGACTGTACTCAGATATTTTCTCAAGGAATATTTGCCGTAACTCAAAAGGATTACATTCTTTTTTTTTTAACTCTAGCTTATCAATTCTCACAGATACACTCTCCATGAACCAAGGTTTCAAATAAACTTTGTTTGGCAAAGGTTCACACAACTCTACAATATTATATTCACACAACATCTGACAAAGTTTTTTAGTATAAGTATTCATCTTAAAATTACTAGTTATTGCATAAGTAAATTTATCAACAGCAGACTTCAGATACCCATCACCACGCCTAATAAGCTTTAGAGTAGAAATGACAGTTAACTCTCTAATTCTGTGTATTATGCTCGGGACATTTAGCTCCATCCTCATAATCTCTATTCTTGTCGTCTTTGAACAACGAAGCACAATCCTCATTGCTTCATTCTGAATAAGCTCTAATGGCCTAAGATCTTTTCCTGAGTAAGAAGCTAGAACTGGAGCTGAATAATCAATGATACTCCTAACTGTACTCAAGTACGTACATAGATCTTAAAACTGGTATACCAACACCATTTGCTCTATTTGACAAAACTTTCAGAGGTTTTAGCCGAGCTGTACATATATTTTTGACATCAGTAATTTGATCCTTAACATTATTATTTACACCCACAAACATTCCCAGATATTTGTAACTGGATACTTATTGCAATTTTATTCCATTTAGCCAAAATTCTTTTCCATTTACTGCCCTTCACTGAGATTTGGTTTTATTTTAATTAATGACCAGTCCCAAGGAGAGACAAAGATACTGCAGCTGATCAATGACCCTAGACATATCTTCCTCATTCTTACATCAGATCAGAATGTCATCAGCATAAATGATTACTTGGGACTCGCCCTGAAATTTGTAACTAGCCATTCTGTTCATAAGAATATTAAAAAGCATAGGGCTAAGAACGCCACCTTGTGGGGTACCCAACCCTAGACTTTTTTCTTCCGATTCATGACCTTGAAACCAGACACTCACTTTTCTGTTAGTTAAGTAATCTGTAATCCACATCAATAATTTCCCATTTATACAAGACTTTCTAAGATCACTTCCTTATTTGCCGTATCAAAGGAACTTTTAAGGTCTGCAAACAGTCTACACTTGACATTAGCATTACTAAGACATTTAATCACACAATCTGTAGTGCTTTTACCCTTTAAAAATCCAAACACATTACTAGACAAGAGACCATCAATTGTATACAATATATTTAATACCATTCGCTCCATCATTGT